TTCAGATCCCATATGGTAAAGTTATCTGGCATATAATAATATTTCTTTTTTACTGAAAAGCTTCATCGATAAAAACTACAAGCAGCGGAAGATACATCTGTTATGTGCCCACGAAATTTTCACAGAATGTTTTTAATGCTCTAAATCGTGTTAGTTTTCCCTTTGTTGCCACTATTCTTCTCGGTGCTCTGATATTTGAAGTCCTTTATGCTCCGTGTTTTCGAATCCACGACGAATGCATTTTGTGTTTGATAAGAAGTTGTTAGCTTTTTCTCGACTTTGAAAGATATCACCTGGTGAGGACTTGGTAGCACGGATTTTTGCATGCGTGGATAGATGATCGAGCGATAAAGATTCCACTGAGTTAATTTCAATAGAGAAAACAATCATTTGCAATACAAGCATACTACCTATTCATAAAACCAATGAAATAAACTATGAAATAACAAGTTACATAACTAGTTTCGACTCACAGATCATACATAGTCGCATTTTTCAAAGTATGGACGAATCTCAGCCGAATTTTTATGCGAAATGTAAATGCACAAATTCGTATTGCTGTTTGGCTTTTTCCAACTTTCAAAACCTCAGCATTCTGTCAACATTCAGATGAAGTGACTTAATAGTCGACAAATGTTGATAAGCACGGTATAGTGTTTTTTTATGCATGTATGACGACATTCTTTTTTATGTTAAATTGTGTGCAGAAAAAAAAGATGACGTGAATACTCCATTTTCGAAAACAACTTTCAGATGCTTTGATGATGGCATGTTTACTATAACAATCTTGTTTTTCGAGTCATTTTTAATAGAGAATTTCTCACATGTTGAAGAGAAAATAAGGTGCCGTTGTCAAAAAATTGACTTGAAAATGCTCTTTGATCGAAGGAATAAACTAGAAGAACTCCTAAATATAGTAAACTAGCAGAAAATTTTCAATGCTATCTAATAATGAGTTTTATTTTTAAAATTAAATACTCTCTTCTATGAAAAAAAACAGTTAAAGCAATTTTGGGAAGTCTAAAAAGTTAATATAATCCCATTCTTCGACCTATAGAAACTTTGGATTTTATTATTTCAAACTAAGTTAGATAGAAACTGATAGTGTAAACAACGTATTGTTCTCTTTGAATTAAGAGTTTTGTAACTTGCCTTTATTAAGAAAAATGACAAACGCAAGACATTGAAAGTATCTGAATTTACCTTTTCTTTATGAGTTTTTTTTGACTTGTTAATTTTAAAAAAAGTATACTAGTTATAGGCTTCATACAAACATCTTTTTCCTGTGTTTTATAGAATAGTGCTCTCACTTCTTGACGAAATTCAGTCGATAAGAGACGATATTTAGCTCAAAATTAATTACCTATCGTGTTCCACCAAATAGGTTAACAATGGAATAAGCATCAAGGAAATGAACTAAATCATTCGATAAATATCAATAGTTTGATATGAGGATGTGGATGTTGGTGTGGGTACTGGTATGGATGCTGTTCTTACGGCTCCCTACACTTACCCACACCTACACACACACCCTGAACGATTATTTTGACAAGCTGAGGATAATCATTTAATCGCATTTTAATCGATACTGTTTTCTTTAATATTCGTTTTACTTAGGGTATCCAAAAGTAGTGGCAGTGACACTTTTATATCATGTATTAGGTTGGCCAGAAATTTTTTGCGTTGTTTTTGAAAATTTTATTTTTATTTTTTAACTTCAAGAATGCAATTATCTCTCAACAATGTAAGCTCCATTACTGTCTATGACTTGTTGCCAACATTCTGGTAGAGAAAGAATCCCGCGTTCGTAGAAGTCTTGAGACTTTTGGGTGAAGAAGTTGGCAAGGTCCATTTTGAGATCGTTCTCGACGTCGAATTTTTTCACACGTAAATAATCAAATATAGAACGGTACAACTGGTAGTCCGTAGGCACTAAGTCTGGAGAATAAGGTGGATGTAGAACCGTAACCCATCCGAGCTTCAATAGTTTTTCACGTATCGACTTTGCAATATGAGATCTGGCGTCATCATGTAAAAAATAAATTCTATCCTGCTTCCCGTGGAGTTTTGTTGCAACTCGATCCAATTGTTGACAATAGAGATCAGCAGTGAGGTTGCAACCAGTTGGAAGAAGTTTCCAATGAATAATTCCTTTTAATCCCCACCAGACGCTCAGCATAATCTTCTTTGGGTGAAGTTCCTTCTTTCGCATTACTAGACCTGTTTGTCCAGCCCACAGCCACTGCCGCCTGCGCGTATGGTTCACATACAACACCCACTTTTTATCGCCAGTAATAAGATTGTGAAGCCATTGGTAATTGCGATGAGATGTCATTGATTCCATACAAGTGTCAATCTTGAGTTGGAGCTGACGCGGTGACAACTCATGTGGTATCCAAGCACCATATTTCCACGTTCCGCCTAATTTTTTCAGGTGTTCCCACTGTAGCATGAACGCATCCAGGTCGCTCTGCTAAACACCGTGTAGTCAGTCTAGGATCTTCTTCCATGAGCTGCTTCAAAACATCCAGACCCACCTCTAGTAGTCTCCTGGAACGAGGTAAATCGTCGAGTTCTAAGTTACCGTTCTTGACCCGACTGAATCAATGTTGCACTGTACGAATGGAGAGTACATCCTTGCCCATCGTGCTGCATATGTTTCGGGTTGCTTCCGTTGCTTTGTGACCCAAACGAAATTCATGAAGCAAAAGCACCTAGACGTCTCTACAAGATATCTTCAATTCTAATTCGAGATCAACGTTCATATCCATGATTTTGTTATTGTTCGAAAGAAATTTGTATCCCCTTTATATACCCTCAGTATGGAAACTTCTAGAACTTTCTTGACCGTTCTAGGAAAATTAAAGGAAAAACGCAAAAATTTTCTGGCCAACCCAATAGTACCCTTTTAGAAAATTTTCTCTATATAGTCTGATCGAGAAAAAAATGCTCTATTTTTCTATGCTATGCATCGAAACATGTACTATAGGTTTTTCTAATATAGATTTGTGAAGCATTTTTATTCGATTTCCTAACTCTCAGAAAAATATTCTTTTTTTATCAGAAAAGAGGAAGGAATAAAAGTGAGGTGTTTTTACAAAAATTACAGGAGAACAGAATTAGAAGTTCCACTAAAATACATATTATTCATGTAAGATTTCTGCAGTTTGTAGATCTTCAATTAGTGATTTGAATCTATCCTTGATAATTGAAAATTCACAGTAACAACTTGCCAGACAGGTATGCTCTCAAAAAGGTCATTTGAAAAATTTATCAAAAAAACCAGATCAGGAAACCTTGTAATACACGAATCGATGCGTCTTCGCCTCCTCTTTCCAACAACGAAAACCACAATTCTCTATCTTGCTTCTAACAAAAGTTATTCGAAAAATACTCATCTGTCCCTTTTTAAAAATGAGCATTATATAACCCTGACACATGGGAACAAAATAGATTTTATCGAAATTTTATTATTATGATATTGGTTGAAGTATGATCAAATAGCATAGAAAAATAGAGCATTTTGTCTCTATCAGACTATATAGAGAAAAAGTTTCTTAAAGAGTACTATATGATATACAAGTGTCACTGCCACTACTTTTGGATACCCCTAAGTAGTAATATGTTCAATGAATTGTTTACATGTAATATGCCATTATTTGGCCGAAGTACTCAAGAACTCTCTAGTTTTGGTTTTAGTGCTACAAAAGGATCAATTGATATTAATCAAATTGTCATAAGTGATTCAGGCTTTGACACAATTAGAACTTATTTATTTTACTATCATATGAGTAAAACAACTAAAACTTATAATTGATAAATATATGATTTTGACATGAAACCAAGCCATAAGATTAGAATATATTCTATGGAAACAGCTTATAATGAACTATCTTCGTAAAATGTGTTTTGGAATTCTAATTCTGCTGATTGATACAAAAATCCATTATTTATATATATTTTTTCATATATTGGGTAAGCATTTTTGTCTAACAATAAAATCCTTACAATCATTGGTAATGCACAATCAAATAATATTGACTAAAAATTAAATGATATATTTATTTGTTTATTTAAAATAAATTATCCTTATTATAAAAAAAATCAATTTAAAATTATTGGTCGAATGCTTTTTTTTGAAAATAATGAATAGTGTCGAAAAAGTTCCACTTGATAGATTTTAAGAATTTCATCCATCATTTTCCACTCATATAAATATTCGATGAGGTATTTTAACTCTCTTTCGTCAGACTTCGATATATAATATATGTTAGTTTCTCGAACATAAATTAGCAATGTCTTTAAATTTTTGAAATTTTTCAATATTTTTATTACATCATTTGCATAATCTCGACTTTTTTCTGATGGAAGACACGAATAATGATAATGTATGTGTTGAACATTTGAAAGATGAACGCTACTCCAAGGGATATTCGGATCATTGACTCGATAATACTCTCTTACAGAGTCCAATTGTTCAAGATTGGGACCAGTGAAGTCTAAGAAAGTTTCTTATTGTCTGATCAAATTTCAATAAAAATATGATATTCGTGATCAGCGCGACAAGTCTTATAAGACTAATTCGTACGAATGGAATCATCGTAAATCTGTGAGAAGAAAATCTTTACTACGAGATACAAAGATATATATATTCGCTCGTCCTTACCTACGTCTTCTTATGTAGATTAAAGAATGTCATACTTAGAAACATGTACAAAGCCGAAATAAAAGAATGCATTATGTGAATATATAACATGCACGAACAGATAGAAGGTACTATATTACAACAGGATTAAGTACACTAAATATCTCCTATATTGAATAATATGATTCCGTGTGATATTTTGATGACTATGATTTTTCGTAGGATTCCTTCTAATCTATAAAATCTTACATTTGATATTATTATTTTGATTGTCTTATTCGACTATATTATTGTTTAGTTTTATTGAAATAAAATCATAAATATTGTTATTTGTTGAACTCTACATTTGACAGTATTATAAAAAGAGAAATACATAAAAAACTATTAAAGAATAGCGACTAATATTGTTTAAAAAACAGGTTAAAGCTTGAACGCCGTTTGTTAGTTGAAATTCAATGATAACACTTGTTCGTTGGGCATTTACCATTGGATCAAATCCAAATGTTATAAGATAATCTCCAGATAGATGATTGACATTGATAATTGTCGAATTGTCTGTACCAGGATAAATATTTATTTCTTGAAGTCTATAGTTTTTGGTCGAATCAATTCCTTTCAATCGAATCGGACGATAAGTACCCGCTCGATATCGACTATTAATTAAATATGTAAACCATACAGCATGATCTTGCTTTTCATTGACATAGATTAATGATGCAATATCACTACCAGATCGATATGGTGATACAAGTCGAAAGAGATTTCCATGCCAAATAGTATCTTTGAGACGATCATAGATTTGCAATGCTTGTTGACTAAATAGAAGTTCATTAGGATTGAGTTTGCTCACTACAATATCATAGCCTAATTTTCCCATCATAGCTACATCTGTACGAAATTTCAGTGGTTGTTTTCCCCAATCTGTAATATGATTACAAGTAGCCAATGCGGGAAAAAAGAAAGAATAACTCCATTGAATGAATATGCGTTCTAGTCCATCGGTATTATCACTTGGCCAAAACTCAGTAAAATATTGAAGTGCACCATAATCTACTCGTCCTCCACCACCTGAACATAACATCATTGGTATTGTCGGATATTTATTTCGAAGACGATCAAGAATATTGTATAAACCACGCACATAATCAATATATAGATGCGATTGATGAGGATTTGAAGTTGAATAAGCATTGTAGATAACAGAATTACAATCCCATTTTATGAAAGCCACCATAGGATGTTTAGTGAACAGTCCATCGACAGTGTTATAAACGAATTCTTGCACTAATGGATTCGATAGATCAAGTACTAATTGATTTCGATAATAGTATTCAGGTCTTGAGGGTACTTTAATAACCCAATCTAAATGATTTTCATAAAGTTCACTTTTTGGATTAACCATTTCTGGTTCAATCCAAATACCAAATTTAATTCCTATAGTTTGAGCTGCATTTGTTAAATAATCGATACCATGTGGTAATTTTTTAACATTTTCTTGCCAATCACCCAATCCAGCGTGATCATTATCTCTTGGATATTTATTACCAAACCAACCGTCATCTAAAAGAAATAAATCAACGCCAAGTCTTTTACCATCACTCATCAATGACGTTAGTACTGTTTCATTAAAATTAAAATATGTCGCTTCCCAATTATTGAGTAAGGTCAATCGATT